AAAGCTTCTTTAGAAGATGCTTGTAAATTTTTTACCACTTACTCAAGCAGCAGATCCCATGGATTTTAACAGCACAGTCCTGCTTAATTGCTCTAAAAATCAGGATATTTTCTAAGTATTGTATTTAATATGAATTGACTGTATCTTAAATCAATGGGTGTGGTGGTAATTTTTATATCTTCTCAAAAAAAATTTCAATATTTTAGTGTACTTTTCCAGACATTTTCTGCACTCCACTGATCTTGGTAAAGAGGTGTACCTAAGTGTACATGCCTGTGCACGCATTTATGAATGCGTCTATTACTTTACCTGGGGCAATGGAAATCTAGTATCTTGTACTGTTCCTCAATCATATTGTTTTAAGCTGCTTCACTGCATTTTGAAGAATGTACAAGGCAGTGGTGGGATTCAGCCAGTTCGCACCACTTCAGGAGAACCGGTTGTTAACTTTCTGAGCAATTTGGTGAACTGGTTATTGGAAGAAATCATTAGGGCACAGAACCGGTTGTTAAATTATTTGAATCCTACCACTGGTACAAGGCCTGTATTTGGTGAACCCAGACTTTGTCATCTGGGGAAAACACACCCTATCCACTAAGAACTGGGATAGGCAGAAATACGGATCCACTTCGTGAAGCTGCATAGAATTTAAGAAACTGATAACTTCACCATAGTACTTCATAAAATTTTATGAATGTGCTGCTAAAAATTAGGAGCAACTTAGAGGGAGGAATGGAAGCCATGGATATTCTGAGTCACTACATTTGTGAGTTCAACAGAGAGTATTTTTATTTTTATCCAACAATTTTATATAGTTGCTCAACACACATACAGTATGTTGACTCTGAGAGGCTTACAATTTCACAATGTAAGAACCCATGAATCCTTCACAAGTCTTATTTTACTAACATCACTTACCTCTTATATGCCTGGGTATTTATTTATAGGGGGAAAATGTCTGGACCAGACGTAATTTCTAATGTTGGATTTTCACCCTTACCAGAAGGAGCCTCCTTGCGGAGTACTGTGAAGCCGTTATCATGGCAACACTACTGTGCTGTAAAGTAGAAGCCATTTTAAGGCATAACAGGCTGTATCTTAACAGAACACCCCCCACAAAGGGTTTTAGGGGTGTCTTACCCACACAGTGTTTGTTTCCAGAGAGTAAGTCATCTATGTACCAAGTTTGGTTGAAATTGCTCGAGGTGTTCCAGAGTTATGCTGGAACACACACACACACACACACACACACACACACACACCTGTTTTTATATATATAGAAGAAGATATACTCATGTATTGGCCAATCCTTGAATTTTTAAACAGAAATTCCATGAAAAGTGTACCACCTGCGGTTAAATGATCTGCATTTTAATGGCATTTTAGTTTTAAAAAATTCAAAGATTGGTTTATCNATTTACCGGTTCTCCGAACTACTCAAAATTTCCACTACCGATTCTCCGGAACTGGTCAGAACCTGCTGAATACCCACCTCTGAACTGAACGATTTGGGACTTTGAAAAAGGGCAGCAAATTGATCTTTGATTTATCATTGTACTTTTATTTCCAAAGAAAATAATCTTAGCGAATTGATAGTCTAGGGCAGGAGTGTCAAACTCGCATTGTCATGGTGTCGTCATGTGACGCATCACAACTTTTTTCTCCTTTGATAAACCGGGTAAGGGCGTGTGACGCATCCGGTCTGCGAGTTTGACATCCCTGGTCTAGAGAATAGCTTGACTTGGAGAGAAGAGCATCTTTTCCTATCACATTGGAAACAGCAAAATGTTTCCGGCCAGTCTTGTAAGGGTGTCTGCAAAGCCACATGGGCTCCATTGACTGCTATTAAAGAACCCCGAAAGACATTTTACTTGAGATGAATTTTTTTTCTGTTTGCCTTATACTTAAGTTCCCATTTTTTACAGAGCATATTCCCCAGATGATGAGTACTCATTATCACTCCTTAGTCTCTCCCTTCAAATTCAATTTTAGCTTTGGAAGAGTGCTCCAATTATACATGGATCATCACATCCTTTTAAAAAACGTATAATGGAAAGTTTGTGTTTGAGATGAAATTAGAAATCAAGGTTGCTTTCATGAAATAATATGAATTAAAAGCGCTTTCTTCCCCATCCCAAAGTTTCCACTACAATATAACAATGAAATACGCGCAGGGATCTTTACCATTCACCCTGTATATATGTTTACCACATTAAGTCCCCGGTGGATCAGGATGGCTAAGAAACAGGCCAGGCCTAATGGCAGCAGCTGCACATCTTTCCAAGCATTGATTTTGTGCACAGAGAAAGTAGAGTTTGGGAGACTGAGAGCGCAGGGGAAAGGGTGACAACACCTTCACCCATCGCATCTCTATGTCTTTATTCTCTTCAATCATTTTCTCATTTCACGGCTCACTACCCAAACTGCAAAAAGAACTCATCCTTTTCCCATTCCATTCCTAGGTGGGCTTGGACGGAGCTCTTCCTGAAGAGTGGAAAAGTACCCTGGCTCTCTATTTTCCTTTCTCTTCCTCAATAGGAAACTGGGACTAGTAGATCAGAACTGACCGTACTCACAAGATTGCAGAATTAAATCGTTTCCTTTCCTCCCTGCTAGTGGCAAAGCAACCACCAATCACTCCCCAACGTGAAGTGGGACAAGAGTAGGCAATTTAGGAGAGAGCAGGTTTTAGTAACATGTCAAATTGCCTAATGGGTTGCTAATGCAGAAAGATGTGTTCTGCTAAGTACCGGCAGAAGGCAAGACCTCCCGTGTTCCTACTCTGACAACCTGTGTCTCTGTCTCCCTCGCCTGTCAGTTCTACTCTTTCTAGGAGTATGGTGGCGATTTTCTGGAAGAGACGAGTCCCATAGGAATCAGGTAATGGGGTAAAATGGCAGCTAACAATGAATGAGTTCCATCCTTGTCTACGGTTTGAAAGGAAATGTCAGTGATAGTAGGGAGTGAGGAAGGATTCCAGTTCTGGTCTCATAGCCTAATGCCATTCAAGCTGGGAAGAAGTAATTTCCACCAAACAAAACTCAGCTGCCCCATGAAAATCCTTTCTGGCAGAAGCAGTGAAAAACCTCTAGTGCCCCCAGTGGGGAGAACTAGGAATACCCACTTTTTCCTTCCCAGTTTCACCCCCACCCCCACCCCCCTGTGGGATTACATTAAGCACACGCTCAAGGAAGGGCTAGTTCTGATTTTTAATCATTAGTCTAGCACTCTTTCTAAATTGACGGGTGAAAGGCATTGTTTTTAACTTTTGGATGCAGTAATGAATTCCTTTGGCAGAAATGGGAAATCTGGGTGGCAACTGTTGATGGTTATGAATCTCTACGGTGAAGGAATAGATGAAAAACAGGGCGAAAGCGGAAACTTTTAAGCCATTCATGTATCAATCAGTGGAGAATCTGGCACCGTATTTCTGCTCCTTGGCGGGAGTTACTTTATAAAAATACCATTCCAAGTGCTTTGGAATAGCAACAGAAGCAAACGTGGGGATGGCAAAAGTCTCATTTATAAAATGGGAAGGAAGGCTTCTCAGGCACCTGAGTTTTCTGTTAGCATTGAATCATAAAAACTAAGCACCCAGGTTTTGCCAAATGGAAGTGATACTTAATGAATCACGAGGGAAGATCATGAGGCCAACAGTTATGAGACGTTAGATAGATTCCACCAGGAGAGCAAAGTGGAAAGAGAAGGGGGGGGGGGGAGAAAAATATTGGGTGAAGCAAACTCCCATAATGAGGAGTGTTGCCAAAGTCAGAACTATGAGATTTATGCTATTTTTGATGCCGGCAGTTCTTAGCACTAAACAGCTGGAACTATAGTATAATTACATCATCACTTTTTAGAACATAAATACATAAATAGAAATTGGCATGGGATCTTTGAAAGTGCAAGGGGTTGATTTAATCAGAGAGACTCCCCCCCCACAAGACAGCTGGGTGTGGAAGGTTTTTTTTTCCCTAACAGGAGGGTGTAAGTTAATGCTTTTTATTATATGCAGTATTTCCATTCTAGCTATTCAGTAAAACCAAATCAGGTGCAGATTGTGATAGAAGTAAGGAGACATTTCATCTGTTCTTAAGTATTCTTAGTGATACACTTGCTTGATTATGTTATTTTATGAAGGCAAATATATCTGTCCCAGGATAATGTTGCATGAGTCTGAAAGCTCAGAAGAGTAAACCTCTGGTCCCAGTGACCGACCCACATTGGATCTTGCAATATTATTTTACCCCCATTTTTATGGGAGAGTTCTGTGTTATCTTTGGCAACGCTATTTTAAGGGGTGCAGTAATAGAAGTGCTCCCTCTGTGTGTGTGTGTGAGAGAGAGAGAGAGAGAGAGAGAGAGACAGAGAGACAGAGAGAGAGAGAGAAAGAGACAGAGAGACAGA